TCCCCGCATGTCCAGCTCTCTCTGCGGAGCCCTCTACCCCTCAAGCAGATAAACACTACCACCCAGTTTGGTGACAACTGCAAATTTACTGAGGGCACACTCAATCCCCTCATCCAGGTCATTGATAAAGATACTAAACAAGACTGGCCCTAGAACTGAGCCCTGGGGAACACAACATGTGGCAGGGTCCTTCGGTTTTTTTTCACGGCCTGTTCTTCACCTTCTCTAGGTCTGTGGAACCTAACATGTGGCAGGGTCCTTTATTTTTTTCATGGCAGGTTAAACAGTTAAGCTAATTTATTTTCTGTACCTGCATTATAGACTTGGCAAACTAATTAGAGGTGTGGTGCCTGTTTATGGCATGACAAGCGATAAATGACTTGAAGGGGCTGGGGAAGGGCCGGAGGGAGGATGTGGGGAGCTGGGATGCAGGGGCACAGCTCCAAGCCTGAGCGTAGTCCTAGAACTGCCTGGAGTTGTGCTTTCAACTTCTGGGAACACCAGGCAAGCCTGCTCTGCTGATGTCCCTCGTTCATGGTGAGCCAAGGCCTCCGTGTGTTCAGGTGGATGCTCTGCTGTGGTTGTACTGTTTGTCTCTTCCTCTCTCCTGGACAAATTTTCTGCACCTGTGAAGCATTTCACTATGGAAGGGGACAATTTTTTTCTCTGCCGCAGTGGCTGGGTGATAGGGGGAGTCGTCTCCATCTCACTGTGCTCTCCAGGCTGTAGTCCCCCCAGGTCCTGTCACGGGGGTAAAGCCTCGTTTGCCTTGTGCCCCTTCCCTTGGGACTGGGAGCTGGATCCCCCATTCAGCCCTCTCCTTCATGGGGCTGACTTAATAACATTGCTTTGATGATTGCGTGGTGCTTGTGGTCTGCTGGCTGCCCTGGACACCTCCAAACCCTCCCTGTGCCCCCCAGTTGGGGCTGCATCGGTCCAGAGAGGACAACTGCACGTGGGGCAAAGGAGCCTCATCCTTTCCATCCTGCTCCATGCAAAGCTTGGGAAGGGTCAGGAAGGGAGTCAGGGCCATTTGATTCCTTCCTCCTGCTCTCATGTTTGGCTCAGGCCTTCCCCTGGCCCCCAGGGGAGGCTCCAGCCCCCCGGGATAGCCCTCTTTGGGGAAGCTGCAGCTCCCCAGCCCGTAGCTGGCTTGGGCACGCAGCGGCGGCGAGATGCTGCAGCGAAGCATCCTCTGCCTCTCCCTCCCCTTTGCAATCCCAGCCCTAAGTTCAGCATCTCTGGGGTGGCTGCTTCCCACCCCCTGGTGTGGGACCCTCCCGCCACCCCCCCGGTGCTG